CAAAGGGGACTTGCCAGATAGACAAACAGCAAGATGGCCCGGAAAAACGTGCAGTTGGCTATGCACGGTGCGAAAGAAGTTCAACATACAAACAAGACAGGGGGGGATGCATGAGACGAAGCACATAGACACACAGAGGCTCAAGCCAGACAGATGTGCAGGCAGAAACTGCTAAAGCTATTTGTCGGTGTATGTGTTTTGGGAGCCCGGAGGGGCAGGGCAGGGCGGCCGAGGAAGGAAGTGGACGAACTACTTTGTACGGAGGCAGCCGCCCCGACTGCCCCCCCCCCCCACCAGCCCACCCCCCCACCAGCCCACCCCCCACCAGCCCACCCCCCCACCAGCCTACCCACCCCCCCACCACCACCCTAACCCAACCGCACTCCCACCACGCTCCCCTTGAATGGTGGAAATTCAGTCTGGACGCAGCAGCAGCAGTTCCGTCACAGTCACAGCGCACAGGGGAGGAGAACGGCAACAGCCACATGCAGCAACAGGCAACGTAGAATTACCAAATAAATAAATAAACAACCACGCGCGCACGTGCACGTGAAGAGAATTCTTAATTACGCCCTGTGTGCTCTGCGGGGCCATGATGGCTAACAGATGTGCACCACCAATGCCTCCTCCTCCTTGAGCCCTGCGCACGCACGTCTGGCCGCACTTTTCACGAAAAGCAGAGTTCCTCTCTGGACCCCGAGATCCAGACTCCCCCCCCCTGCCCACACACACACACCTCTCCCCATCACCGGTGGGCAGGAGATCGGCCACGCGGTTCCGCACCAACCTCGATTCGGAAGGTGGCAAAAAACTAAAAATCGAGCGAAAATAATGCGCGGAGGTCAGGAGATGCAGGGGTCAGGGGCAGCAACAGCGTGGAGCGAGGAGGTGTCGCTCGCTGACTTCGCTGTGCCAGACGCACGCTGCTGTTGACGCTGTCGAAAGAGGCCTCGCACAGCCACCCACTCGTGCGTTCACAACGCGCAGTCACTTGCAAAGACCTGATGAAATCTCACGCCGTCACGTCGTGCTGCTGACAACAGTCTCGCCGCCGTCACTTCTTTGCCAGACGCTATTTCTTTGCCGTCACTCAAATCGCCGCCACAGACTCACTCCCGCCCGGTACAAACCAAAAGACCCACCTCTGTCTCGCGCCCCGGTGTGGCCGACTATTGTGGGGGTTGTTGCTACAAATGTTTTAATTCTAGATTTGAAGCTTTCGTGACTGCAATGATTCATATTCTTAGGTTTTTTTCGGTAAAGTCACGTAGGTAAAAAATTTAAATTAATACAAGTAAAATATTTCATTTTATTTTACTTTTATTAATTTTAATTATACTTATTTTACCTACGTGACTTTAACCTAAGAATATGAAAATATTTTATTTTACTTTTATTAATTTAAATTTTTTTATCTACGTGACTTTACCGAAAAAACCTAAGAATATACAAATTTTTGTTTGCGATTCATAATTTGAACAACAAAAAAGGTCTTTGGGTTGGATCGTGTAAGTACAAATGCCGTCGTTAACGGGCGTCATGACGTCTTGAGATCAAGGATCCATTCCGAAAGTCCCGCACAGCAGCGCGCAACGCGCGTCGATGAGAATTCACATGGGGGGGAGGGTTATCATCAAATTTATTCAGGGATCGCTTGTACTGGAGTGGTATTTTCATCTACACACTTGGGGGCGCACTTTTTCACATGGCCTGCTACAGAGGAGAGATGTTTATCACGCATGTATGTTGAACTTTTTTCGCACCGTACGTAGCCAAACGAACTAAATCAGAGGTGGTGCCGGGGGGGGAAGGACAATAAACTGAACGCAGCTGATCTTTATTAATTCTCACAGCCATAAATATATCCAATGAAGTGATGCATCATATTTAATATAACGGGGATCTGATTCACATGCCAGTGACCAGGCTGAGGGCATCAATTCACGGCACACGATAAACCGGATCAATCACGGGCATCTGGAACTCAAGACTTGAGCCCAGGATCGTCGGTGGGGCCTGCTCAGTGTCTCTGGGACCTGCGAGCCAGTCAGCCACAGCTGAGGGGAATAGTTTTACTATATTTTGCATTTACTTTTCTCAGATGTGTCAACATTTGGCCGAATTTCTCCGTGTTTTCAAGAGAAACTTCAATTGTGCAAGAGTAACCCTCGGGCAGTGTCTACGGTGGTGATAGAAAAATAATGTTTCTTGACTGGGTTAGGATTGTGAATAATAATCTCTATTAAACAGAAAGGGGGGGAGATTTGAGGCAGTGGTTTGCCCACTGTACTATAAACTAGGCTTAAACTAGATATTTTATTTTACCAGGTGGAAATGTATAGCAGCCTAATACTCTAATCGCATGTTTCTAAATTTGGAAAGGAAAAATCGGAGGACCTGGAGAAAAATCCACGCGACCACGGGGAGAGAGAGAACATGAAAACTCCAAATATACAGCAGGCATCAGGGTCTGGATTGAACCCACGACCTTCTTCATACCAGGCGAGGTAGTTAACATCTCACCAACGCGGTAAACCGAGTTTATTTCCTGGACACAATATCAGTGGCAAGTGATATCTGAACAGGTCTTGGGCACCAACCCCATTTCAACAATCCGCCGATATATGAAACTAGCTTTTTTTTCTTTCTTTCTTTCTTAAATGTGATCGCAATAATATTGGGAGGCCTTCATCCCATCAGTAGATTGACAAAGAGCTATAAACTATTATTTGTATTTTTATTCCACGTGTATTACATGGGAAAGTCTCACCGTGTCAAGACTCTTCTTTTACGAGAGTCCTGCATCGGGTGTGACCAATTTAATTCACATTTGGCTTCGTGTGGGAAGGAAGCTAGCGCACCCAGAGAACACCCAATCACGCGTACTTAAGCATAACACTGAAAGATCTGCACAGATGGATTCAATAATCCATCGCCGTACCACCGTCCACTGGCCACCATGCAATCTATGGTCACGGTGCCAAGAGCAGGTTCTTGGCTGAGTGTGGCTCATGAGGAACGTAACGCCACCCACCCCCCACAACTTCTCTCTCTAATTGAGGGCGAGGGCGTTAACGAGCGTGGCGCAACGCGCGACGTGCCATTTAATTTCAATTAGGGGTGTCGCGTTTTCCCCGGTCGGATATTCGGTGTGCGCTGCTCCATTCAGGGCCGATTTCCGCAGCACAGAGGCCGCACTGTGAGGCGGCAAACACAGGGCTGCCTCTTAGCCCCCCCGCACCCCCCCCCCCCCCGGGTCCCGAAGGTACCAAGGAAATGCCTGAACGCTGGCATCACGGCCCGGTGGGCCGCGCTCGCTCGCTCACGGCGGCGCTCGGAATTAATGGACGGAAAAAACACACAAGTTTTGCTACACGTGTGCGTGCGTACGCATGTGTGGCTGCCTGGTGGTGCGGGGGGGGGTGTACGTGAAGGTAGTGGGATGAGTGGGTGCAGTGTGGTGTTGTGCCGGGCATGTGTTTACGTTACTGTGTGTGCGCCGGGCCGGACTTTCATAAGTGCTCGCTAACAGCACTTGCCCCAACAGTCTGTTAAGGCTACACGGGGGGAGCTTTGTCTTTGTGCAGGTGTAAGGCAGTCGGGGATGGTAGTGTAGTGGTTAGCGCGCTGCACTACAAACCCGGCGAGACGAGTTCGATTCCCACTCATGACAAATAACAGTGACGAATATCTGGACTAGTCCAGGGCCTCTCCTAGGTCGACTCAGTCTTAAATTAGTACCTGGTGCGGTGTGTAAGCATTACCAAAGGAGGCTGGGCTGTGGTGATGACCACCCACCCTCTTGAGTGCCGTGCCAACATACCTAGGTGCTCGCTAAGAGCACTTGCACCAAAAGTCTGTTAAGGCTATACGGGGGATATTTGTTTAGTGTGTATTTGAAGGCAGCATGGAGGAGGAAATAGTTTAGTGTTGGTTATATGTGCAGGTAGGTGTGTGTGTGTGTCTGGCACCGTGGTGATGTCACCGCCACTTACGAGCGAATGGATGTTGTTGTATTATTGGGATGTGGTGTTGAGTGTGTATGTGGCTGTATGGGGGTTGCGTATGTGAAAGGTTAAGTAGAGTGGGCGAGTGTGGTGTGTGTGGCGAGCGGTGGAGTACTTGACATACACACCTACCGGAGGTGTGTATGTTGGGGGAATGGTCGTGTGATCGATTGCAAAATTCTGTGTTGCCATTGACCAGTGGCTATTCATATCAATTCCAGTGATACTTGAACCTGGCCTGAGCCTGCGCCGTATTCAATGTGTTTGTGTATTTATGTATGTATATACAGGGAGCGGTGGCACAGTGGTTAGCGTGTTCGATTCCCGCTCACAGCCAACACCAGTGACAATTATCGAAACCAGTCGTGGGCCTCCACTACTTCGACTCAGCATCAAATGAGTACCTGCTGCGGTGTGTAAATATTGCCACTTGGGAGAAGAAGGCGGCCGGGCGTGGTGTTGGCCACCCAGAAACTCCTGTTCGGTGCCGACATTCAAAGGTGCTCGCCAACAGCACTTGCCCCAACACTCTGTCAAGGCTATATGGGGGGATAGGGAGTCTTTGTCTGTGTCTTTTAAGTGTGTGAGCTTGCACGTGTGTGCACCTCCATGCGTTTTTGTGACTTCATGCGAGGACATGCATGTGTCTTCTTGGTTCTTTCGGTAAAGTCACGTAGAAGGGAAATAATAAAATAATAAAAAAATTTACATAATAAAAATAATTCTCACGACGTTTCGGCCACAACGCAAGCAGCCGTCCTCATGGCTGAAACGTCGTGAGAATTATTTTATTATGTTTTATTTTTTTCATTTGATTATTTCCCTTCTACGTGACTTTACCGAAAGAACCAAGAAGATGAATTGCTACAGTCACGAAAGCTTTAAATCAAAAGACATACATGTGTGTTCGTGTGAGTACGTGAGCGTGACGTGCCTGTAACGTGTGTGTGTACGTGAGTGAGTGTGTGAGTGTGTGTGTGCGAGACGGCTCACCGATGCGAGTGCCTTGCCCAGGGTGTCCCCGGTCTGTGTCGCCCCGGCTGCATTGCCCCTGCTCCCTGTGGGCCAGACAGTGACGTCACGTCACCCACAGGCGCGAAACCACAGTCTCCCTGGGCCAGCGGCGCTCACTTGTCCCATATTAGGATATTCTGTCCCTCCACTCAGTGCAAGCTAAACACGTGCAACACACTCGGGAAAAGCGCCGTTGCGCCCTCTCTCTTTTCTCTAGTACGAATGTGAATTGAGTAGCAACCATAAATCCGATGTCGAAGTTGGAAAACCAGCTGCTGGCTTCATAGCACAACGCGTGCAAACCACTCGTGCCCTCACAGGAGTCTTGCAGCGACACGTGTGAGCTGTTCATGTCAAGTAAAAACTGTGCAAATGTCACTTTCATGAAAAAATCGGTAGTGCTTTCAACATCCTGCAATCTAAGCTTGTACCACCACTACCACTTCTATGATCGTTGCCACCACCAGCTCCAGCACCACCTCCTTCACCAAAATTACCAGCACGGTTATCTCGACCACGACCACCACAACCATGATTGGTCGCTTTTTTTAAAGTCTGTCTGTTTCTGGCCTGAAAATTTCGGCTGCTGTGCATGTACCTCGAATCACAATGCAGTGACGATGATGAAGAAGGCTGTGTTTTTATTTCATGACATTGGCCGGCACGGGTGTAGTGGTAGCACAGTGATTCTCTTAGCCCAGACACAAAAACTGAATTCCGACCACATCGAGGGCGAGTGATAACTGAACCAGCCCTTCAGCCAACAGTTTCACAAACCCGCAATCACCAGCATGCCAATGTATGGTCAAACAACTCCCCTGAAGGGAGGCCTGCATCCAGCAGTGGTTTGACAAAGGGCTGACAATGTTTACATAATGACCAAAGGAAACATGGTGTTGAAAAACATTGAAATCAGATTAGAATCAAAATCTTTATTTATACCGGAGGAATCTGATGAGCAATGAAGCTCTCGTTCACAGATGTCCAGTCGGGGCGGGTCAGAAAGTTCCAACAACAAACAATACAAAAACACTATGGGAGTGCAAAGTATAGGAAAGGTAAACAAACAAAAAAACTTTTATTTTACCAGGTAGAACCCACTGAACTAGCGACCTGGCCACAAATTATCGCTCAACGAAGTGGCTTATCATGTGGAAATTTATAGGAGCCAAATAATATAAATAATCTAAACGCGTGTTTATAAATGTGGAGGGAAAACCCGGAGGACCCGAAGAAAAAATCCACGTGACCATGGGGAAAGTGACATGCAAACTCCAAATACACAGCAGGCGTCGTCAGGGTCGGGATCGAAGCCACAACATCTCGCCAATGCGGCCCCCCTAATTGCAATTAATTGAGATTAAACATAGCAACATTGCCCCCCTACAGTAGACTACTGTGTGCGAAACATAGCCCCTTTCCTTCGCGATCGCCTTGTGTTATAAGAATGGCACGAATATCAAATGTACTAAATTCGTATTTTATCATTACCGTGGTGCCGGGCGGCCTCAGCGGGAAGGGGCTCACCGCCACCGCCGGTCGGCGTCCGCGCGCTGGACCCGTAGCCCGGAGCTCCACTGTGCGGGGGGAACGGGGCCATGGGCGGTAGCGCCAGTGCGGAGTCTCCGGCGCTGTGGGGCGGGTAGCCCTGCGAACCAGCAACAGAAGACAAAGACTTTACAATTGGCATTCGTGGAAAGTTCCGTTGGCGAGGGCTCTACCTATCTGGGCGCACAGTGGGTGGTGTGGCCGGCACCGCGCCCTCGTGTGGCCTTTGTCTCCCCGGTAACGGTGTCTTTGCACACCGCACAGGCCATGCTCGGGGAGGCTCGGGACCAATTCTGATATCATTCGCCACCGACATTAGCCGCGGCTTTAAATCAAACTCGGGTCGCCGGGTTCGTCGTGCAGTGTGCTCAAAAGGCTGTGCCACTACTCCCTGCGCTCCAACAATAAAGCAACCGCCGCCATTCCTCCGATTAGCACGGTTGGCTACGTACCGTGCGAAAGAAGTTCAACATACATACGTACACGCCCGTGTGCCAGGCTTAGGTACCCTGTGCTACACGTGTACCGCATGGGCAATGGGAACGCAGTGGTTGTGAAGCGGCCGGGATGAGTGTTGTGCTGCTTGAGTTAGTGATGCGAAGCCGAGGTCAGTGGTGGTACGAGGGATGAGCGTGGACCATTTGTAGTTGGTGCGGTGTTTTTCGAGTTCACCTGTGTCGTGATCGAGTGATTCTGACACGGCCCGGATGAGTGTGTGGCACCTACGGTGACCGTGGTGCTGTATTGGGACAGTGCGGAACATTCTGGACAAAATCGTCGTGGTGAGCGTGCCGTGGTTCTGGGCGAGAGTGGGTACCAATCGTTCGTGTGCACCGAGGACGCCGTAGGAGCCAGGCGGCTGGCTCATGTGGGCAGCGGCATTGGCCGTGCCGCCGTATGCGCCCGGCTGGGCGAGGCCGCTGCACGGGCCCCACAACTCAGCAGAAGCCTGCGCACCATCTGCACGACCATACAATGTAAAACAAAAGGAAAACAAAAAGTAAAAAAACTCACATTTAAATCCCCTATGAGACACAACATTTAATAACAGTGGATTTTGCAAGGGGGAGAGAGGCGGGTGGACGGACGGACGGACGGACGGACGGATGGGGGCGGGGGGGGGGGGATTGGAAGAGGCGGCGGGGGTTCGGAGAAGGAAAAATGGGGATGTGTGGCGGGGCGGTGCAGCAGTAGAGAGGAGGGTGATGGAGGGGGAGGGAGACAGGAACTCCCGTAAGGCAAAAGTATGCACGCGCGGGCTCAGCGCGGCCGTGCACCACACCCAGCCGCAGCTGACAAAACAGGCAAGCGGCCGGGGCAAGACAGGGCTACAAACAAACTCGCTGTGCCGACAAAGCGCACGCGTGTTGCACCACTGAAGCAGCGGCGGCGGCTGCGGTGAGCGGGCGGGCGAGAACGCTGGCAGCGTGTTCTCATGCACCCCAATCCGCGGGGGAGTATCCACAAACAAAACAACAACTCAACCGGACCGGAATACACCTTTCACCTCCTGCCCAGCGTCTCCCCTCTCATGTCTGCAATGCCTGCCTCGTTCATCCTATATCCCTCTCTCTCTCCCACCCACCCACCCACCCACCCCCAGTCACATTGTGAGCGGAAGGCGACAACATTCGTAGTCAGGAAATGTGGACGTGTCGCCATCACGGATGGTGTGTGCGCCCCGTGCTCGTTACAGCCTTCAAGGATCCGTGTTTTTCGTATTACGATCCTCGCGTTTGTCTGTAAACAACGGGGATCACATTGTCGCCCTCGTCCTCTTGGCTCGGTGCCTCTGTACAATGTTTGTTTAGCACATAGCAGTTAACGATAGCAGCAGCAACAGAATCAGAAGCAGCAGCGGTAGAAGCATCAGCACCAGCAGCTGAAGTAGCAGGAGCATGAGGACAACTGCAACAGCAAAGTCCAAATCGACGGACTACGCTCGCACCAGCAAATACATCAACTGCGGCAACAGCATCGACAGCAGTGGCTATGCTAGCGACACAAAAAAAATATGCAGCAGGAACAGCAGACAAAGCGGGACAAGAGGAGCGAGCGCTAAAGCGCGCAGCGAGGGAAGCGGTGGCCGAGTCACTTCTGCAACTAATGCAAATCTGCGGTGGGGATGTGCGAGCCATGGAATATTTTCACAGCGGTTCCAAGTCAAGGTCCACGCCGAAGTGGCACCGGGATTATTTTTAGGTCTTTTTCCCCGCACTGTTCACCACCATCGGCACCGCGCTCCGCAAAAACCTTCACGCTATTTTCCGTGCCATGCAAACAAGCGGGGGGGATAAACAGGGCCGCGCATATACGTGCGCGCATGTACGTGCGCACATGTGGGTGGGGAGCGGTAGTGTAGCGCCGGGCCCGACTTTCATAGGTGCTCGCTAACAGCACTTGCCCCAACAGTCTGTTAAGGCTATACGAGGGGATCTTTGTCTTTGTGTAGGTGTAAGGCAGTCAGGGAGCGGTGGTGTAGCGGTTAGCGAGCCGCATTGCGAATCCTGCTACCCGAGTTCGATTCCCGCTCACGGCCAACACCAGTGACGATTATCTGAGCCGGTTCTGGGCATCCCTTAGGTTGACTCGGCCTCAAATAAGTACCCGGTGCGGTGTGTAATCATCGCCACTCAGGGAGACAAAGGTATGCCCTGCCCGCCTTCATATGTGCTCGCTAACAGCGCTCGCCCCAACAGTTTGTTAAAGCTATACGGGGTTCTCTGTCTGTGTGTACGTCACGCGAGCTCGGCAGCTTGTGATGGAACCAGGATGGTCAGGATTGAGCTGGGGCCTCAGCTTGCATGTAGTATGGACTAGAGTTAGAGTTGGGGCTGGCCTCAGCTTGCATGTAGTATGGACTAGAGTTAGAGTTGGGGTAGGCCTCACCTCACATGTAGTGTGGGCTAGAGTTAGAGTTGGGGCTGACCTCAGCTTGCATGTAGTATGGCTAGAGTTAGAGTTGGGGCTGGCCTCAGCTTGCATGTAGTATGGACTAGAGTTAGAGTTGGGGTAGGCCTCACCTCACATGTAGTGTGGGCTAGAGTTAGAGTTGGGGCTGGCCTCAGCTTGCATGTAGTATGGCTAGAGTTAGAGTTGGGGCTGGCCTCAGCTTGCATGTAGTATGGACTAGAGTTAGAGTTGGGGTAGGCCTCACCTCACATGTAGTATGGGCTAGAGTTAGAGTTGGGGCTGGCCTCAGCTTGCATGTAGTATGGACTAGAGTTAGAGTTGGGGCTGGCCTCAGCTTGCATGTAGTGTGGGCTAGAGTTAGAGTTGGGGTAGGCCTCACCTCACATGTAGTGTGGGCTAGAGTTAGAGTTGGGGCTGGCCTCAGCTTGCATGTAGTATGGCTAAGGTTGGGGTTGGCCTCAGCTTGAATGTAGTATGGACTAGAGTTATGGTTGGGGTTGATCTCACATTGTATGTAGCATGGCTAAGGTTGGAGTTGGCCTCACCTTGCATGTAGTATGGGCTGCCATACGCGCTGGCGCCGGGAGGCTTGCTGGGGTATCCTGGGGCCTCCCGACTGCACTCCTCGGAGCCCGGCGCGTACACCTGTCCGCGGCAAATGGGAGAGGCGAGTGAGCGCAACAGCCAGCGTCGCTCGGCGGCACATCTGACGCGACGTTACTCCAGGAATTCCGTCATCTTCAGGTACAACGCAACTTGGATTTTACGGGGCGCGTCGAATGCGACGGCGGCGGCGGCGTCTCGAGACGCTGTACGCGGACGGTGGGCGCATTTATTTTACAGGCAGCCGGCAGTCGGGTCGCGGACGTGAGAACGCGGGCAGGGAGTCGACAGCACAAACGGCTGAGGGAAATAATCCTGTCGGTGCGAACATTGCAGCGTTAGCCCCTGGCATGTGCGCGTTTTCTCTGGGCACTTTGGTTCCCACCGACACGGAGCAAAAAATATTTCTCAATAAAAATTGGCCATACGTCCCGGTGCGTGGCCCACCTGCAAAACTAAAAAAAAAGAGGATTTCACGCTCGCCAATGTTTTCCTGAAAAAAACCTAAATTACTATGTTTTTATAGGCCCAACGAAAGGCGGCATTCTTTTCGTAAGAGTTCTGTGGAATAAAAATACAAAAGAACAACTAAAATGGGCGTTTAAGCCATGGACGTTATGAAACTAAAGTTCTGAACATCGTATAAATCTGAAACAGGAGACCCTGGCAAAACATGACTTACTGCAGCACGTTTGTGTGTATGCGTCAACTGAGACCCTGGACACGCTTGCAAATGAAATGTTCCATCTCAAGCAAATATCCAGCTGAAATTGTTTAATAAAATAAACCATCACTTACACCCCATCACCACCACCGCCATCACGTAATCACTACCCTGTCACCGCCACATTACCAACACCACCACATCACCACCATCCATCAGAACTTCATTACCACCGCCCCATCATCACCGTCCATCAGAACCTCGTCACCACCACAACAAAACCACCGCCCCATCACCACCACTGTCATCACTGCCCCATCACCACCACATTAGAGCCACCTGTCGTCGCAACCCATGACCTGAACACTTGTGGCTAGCAGGAATAATACAAAACTTAAGTTTTTGCAGCACGATGATGTCTTGAAATTTTTTTTATGTTGTCAAACAGGAAAAATAAAACATCTGCCCAGAAACGCGTTCCAACTTTCGTCCATTTACTGTTATTCGAAGCGACGCAAGGTTTGGGTTTGGACATTGTGCTGCTAAGCAACACGCAACGCCTAAGGGCCACAGAGATCTAAATGAGCTCGCTTGTCAAAATGCCATTATATAATGCAGCGGCTCGCTAAGAAGGGGTTCCCGTGCGGAGTATTACATCACCGCTAAACAAACCCGAGTGCATAATCCTGCACGTGTTGATGCCAAAAGCGCGCTCGCAAAGCACCGCTGCCCGAGCTGGGATAATTCGTCAATTAAGTCAATTAATCATCCAGAGATTAGAATCGACGGCCAGTTATTGTTTTGGTTTAACACGTAGTCTTTCGCGACAAATATCATCCAGAAGCGGTTTCGTTTTTTTTGGCTGTCGCCTAATGGTGAGGCGGCAACCTGATGAAGCTGGTTGTAATCACCGGTGACGCGTCGTAATCGAGTTGCAAAAGTTGTGGGTTTACTCTCCACCACGTAACGGTGTGCCGAAGTAGTAACTTATTAGCACGTTTTGTTTACGTGACAAACCTCACCAATTGGCTGTGTCGGGTGGTGGCGGGTTTATTAACGATGTATTTAAGGTTATTGTTTTGGGCCCCGTAAAAAAATGACGGCCACCTCAGCGTCCTGTCTCACGAAGGCAAGAAACCTCCTGCAATCCGTGGGCCAGAGGTCGCAAACGGGTTTTGATTCCTTACCCGTACCCGGCCGCACCAGGGTCGCAAACGGGTACCCGTACCCGTACCCGGCCGGGTACGGGTAGGGTACGGGTAACGGGTACCTGATTGCAACCTCTGGGATGAAGCCATGTTGCAGGCGCGGGTGGGTTGATTCTAGGAACTTGAATCGTGAGAAGAGACAAGACGTTGGGAAATGAGTGACAAACGGTGACTCACCAGTGACTCACGGCCTACCCGTACCCGTACCTGGCCGCACCAGGGTCGCAAACGGGTACCCGTACCCGGGTACGGATAGCCGGGTATCGGGTAGGGTACGGGTATCGGGTACCTGGTTGCGACCTCTGCCGTGGGCCCGGGGAAACGTGGCCGACGGTCCCCCCCCCTCCCTCCCCCAAACTATTTTCGTGCTTTCCGATTAGTCGAAGAACAAACAGGTAATTTGTAGATTAATCGATTTACTTAACTGGCCCCGGGTTCACTCAGCGGTAGATCGAGGAGGTTGTTCAAATTGTAAGGTTGCGAGTTCGAATTGTGGTTGGGGGCTGCTTCAGCCTATCATCCTTTTGAGTGGGGGGTAAAGTTGACAGTAGTTTCCCCTATGGATAAACTCGGTCCTGCCATAAAAATGAGGATTTTCCACAACTTGCTCAGGGCTGTACAAGGGAGACAGGAGGCACCAACTCAATGCTCACCAGAGCAGGAAATCACTTTGACTTTTTTCACTTAAATTCGAGTAGCGCCAGCAATAGCGATCAGGCAGTTCGGTCAGTGCCCCACCACTTGTTCATGAGCGGACAGACACTAGACGAACAGACGCATGTTGCACTCAACGCGAGAGTCCAACCTGAACCTGTCGTCGAGTCAGTGAAAAGCCCAAGACCAACGTGTTGGGATGTCGTGAGCTCTCAGAAGCTAAGCAGAAGGAGTTCAGCATGCCTGTTTGCAGAGGTGTGGACTCGAGTCATGTGACTTGGACTCGAGTCAGACTCGAGTCATGAATTTGATGACTTCAGACTCGACTTGGACTTGCATAACAATGACTTTGTCCCACCTCTGCCTGTTTGTGCCCGGGTGGACGGCCTCCTGAAAATTACAATGTGGGAGTACGCATGGGTCTATGGAACGAACCAGGAGATTAATTTACAGCGATAGATTATTGAATCAATCTGTGCAGAGGTTTTGAGTTTGACCCCCTCCCCACTTTGCATCCTGAGTCACCCGCTTTCCTCCCAGAATAAAACGACTTATGTCACCGTTTTGTAAGCCATGTGCCTGTGCGACGGGACAAAGGGGCTAGAGAATGATAGGTAAAGGATACGCGAGAATCGGTTGAATAAGTGGGTGAGGCACCAGAAATAATCCACGTGGGACTGGTCAAGGATTGGAAAAAGATCGGCAAAGACTTGGGGAGGGGTCGGTAAGGAACCGGTGATGGACGAGTAAAAGGGGTCGGGGATAAACCGGTGAGGGATTGGCAAAGAATTGGTAAGACTGGAGGATTGGTGGGAGATCGGTGAGGGACCTGTGAAAGATGGTGAGAGTCCGGCAAGAAACTGGGTGCTGTCTTGCGACGGTTCCAGACAGCGCACGGTCACTTCATTTGCTCTGGATAATTTTTTCAATATGAAGTGAACTTCAGTGAGAACCACAGAACTATACTCCCTTTGAAGTTACATTTGGTTTCATTAAACCAGAAATCGGTATAACTTCAGGTCTGGAGCAAGCACATCAAACGAAACATGCACATGTGTGACGCGTACATGTGTTTATCATAAGAACGCCGCAAATCCTGGTTTAAGGCCATGCCAACTTTGGCACCGTCCATTCAGAGAAATTCAGCGAGGGTCCGCAATGCCCAGAGGAGCGACGGCCACAACAACGAGCTGAGCGCGGGGCGACTAAAGCACAGCAAGTTGGCACAGTAGTAGCAGGCACAGGTGGTGCATCTGCCGGTCATCTCAATCGGTCAACCCATGGCACCTGGGTCTGTCCCATGACCTCCTGCCAGCGAGTCTTCGACACTTCCGATGGCCTGAACGTGCACATAGCCTGGCACAAGCGCCGTGGTGACGTCACCACCACTTCCGGTCATCCTCGCAACGGCTTTTGGCTAGTCGTCGAACAAAGATGGTCACTGCATCGGTGTTTTCAAATGTGCTTCTGCAGCTATAGCTTGAAAACTCATTTCTTTCAGACTTCTTTTTGTGTTTTGTCACCCTTCCCCCGCACCTCTGATGAGCACAGTTGGCTTCGTACCGTGCGAAAGAAGCTCAACATACAGACTTAGTGGTGAATGGTGGTTCTTCTTGTGGTACGTCTGAAACGCAGGTTTTCGCGGTTGTGCAGTGCAGCCTCCGACGTGTTTTCGGGTTGTACCTGGCGATAGTTCGGCATGACGTGTGAAGATCCGCTAGACGTGCTGGCAAGTTTTTAGTTCCTTAAGCAACTAAAAGTGTATTAAATTTCGATTTAAAGCTTTCGTGACTGCAGGGATTCATCTTCTTGGTTCTTTTGGTAAAGTCACGTAGAATGGAAATAATAAAATTTAAAAAATACAAATGATGTTGTATTTTTCTTATTGTATTATTTCCATTCTACGTGACTTTCCCGAAAGAACCAAGAAGATAAAAGTGTATTCCTTAAGTAGACATTCTACTCAGTTGCCGAAGCTCCCAGCGCACGGACTGAAACGTCGGACATCATTAATGCAATAAACACCCGGGGGGAAAAAAATAGAAAAAAACATGAAGATAACTAGAGGCTTACATCTCTCCGCCCCCTCTTTCCGTTGGCAGCAGGGGACACCATCCTGAACGAAAACTCCCGCTCAACCGTGATCATGGCACCCACTTCTTGTTTTTTTTAAAAACCATCCTGGAAAATGTGTGTTTTATCTCCAAAACCTGGGGGCAGCTCTGGTCACGGGACTGCGTGTGGTTTAAAGCTCCCCCCCCCCACTCACCCCTTCTCTCGAGTGGGACTGGTGGTTTCATCAAGGCGTAAAAATAAATAACAAAAAATTGCGTATTTTGAGACAAATTTTTCCAGACGGATTACTATAATTGTCTGGCATTTTCCAATGGTCAGAGTTGAAGGCTCAACAACAACAAAAATAAGGAAGTCGTGAACCGAGGGAGGGGATCCATGAACGTCTGACTCCCGACATGCGCCGGGCCACCTTGTCAAAATAAAAGCCCTTACACAGTAAT